GGGGATGGTCACGCCGCAATCCCTTCTCCTCCATTCTCCTCTCGGGATCTTGGGCACGCACGCACACGCGCCCGGCGTGAGTTTTAAGCCACCGGGTCCGGGACACAAACCGCGGTCGACTACGTGGGAGTCCAGCGACATAGCCATTACGCTAACTGCTGGTTCCCAGCATGATGTCCTTTTTTTTGGGAGAGGTTTTTGCTATAGGGTGCGTGTGCTTGCCAGAAAGACAGAGAGAGACAGAAAGACAGAAAGCGAGAAATCACCCCCCAGGGGGGATGGCCACGCCACAGTCCTTTCTCCTCCATTCTCCTCTCGGGATCTTTGGCACGCACACATGTACCCGGCGTGAATTTAAGCCACCAGGTCTGGGACTCCAACTGCGGTTGGCTACACGGGAGCTCAGCGACATAGCCATTCCCAGCATGTCTTTAAGGTTCATCCATGTGATAACATGTGTCAGAATTTCCTCCCTTTTAAAAGCTAAATAATATTCCATTGTATGTGTATACCACACTTTGTTTATCTGTTCAGCCATAGATGGACACTTGGGCTGCCTTTTGGCTATTGCAGTTAATGTTGTTAAGAACATGGGTGTACAGGGGCCAGCAGGTGGTAGAGTGGTTATGGTGCTGGAATCCCACGTACCTGACTGTGGTTCGAGTCCTGGAGCCAACGGCTTGAAAATCACTCCAGGTGCATGTGCTTATCAGCCCAAAATCCTAGGAGGAGAATGGAGAAGAAGGGATTGTGGTGCTGCCATCTCTCCTGAGAGGTGATTCCCCTCTTTCTCTCTCATTGTCTCTCTCTGGTGAGCACACGTGCCCTGTGGCAAAACCTTAAAAAAAAATTTTTTTTAATTTGTGACCAGCAGATGGCGTAGTGGTTATATCATTGGACTCCTACATGGCTGATCACAGTTCAAGTCCTGGACCCAGCAGCTTGAAATTCATGCCAGGCATGTGTGTGTGTGTGTGTGTGCCTAAAATTCCAAAAGGATACTGGAGGAGAGGGATTGTGGCATGACAATCACCCTCTGGGGGTGGGTGATTTCTCGCTTTCTGTCTATCTCTCTCTGTTTTTCCAGTGAGAGTACACACCCTATAGCAAAAATCTCTCTTAAAAATAAGTTTAAAAAATTTTAAAAAATAACATGGGTATACAAATATCTATTCAAATTCTCCATTTTAATTCTTTTTTTTAATACTCAGAAATGAGATTACTAGATTGTATGATCACTAGTTCTATGTTTAATTTTTAAAAAATTTGCTAGAGAGGGCATGCACATGCACTCATGAGAGAGAGAGAGAGAGAGAGAGAGAGGCTCCTCCATCTCTCCCTCTTTTTTTGGATTTTGGGCACACACACATATATGTGCCCTGGTTTTTCCTTAAGCCACTGTGTCTAGGACTCAAACAGCACAGTTGGTCATTCCAGCTGCCTTAACCATCATAACGCTGGCTGGTCTAAACACTGTTCATTTTAATGAAATCTGACTTCTCTATGGTTTTCTTTTGTTGTGTGTGCTTTTGGTGTCATATCTAAGAAATCACAGCCCAATATGATGTCACGAAGCTTTTCCACTATGTTTTCTTTTCAGAGTTTTATTGTCTGGGTTCTTACATTTCGACGTTTAGCCCACATATCCACGTTTCTTCTGTGTGTGGATTGTCCAGTTTTCCCAGTACCATTTGATGTCCCTTTCTAGCACTTTTTTTTTTTTTTAAGAGAGATTTTTGTAATAGGGTGCATGTGTTCACTGGAGAGGCCGAGAGAGACATAGTGAGAACTCACCCACCCTCCAGGGGAGATGGCCACGCCGCAAACCCTTCTTTTCCATTCTCCTCTTGGGATTTTGGGCATGTACATACACGTGCCCAGCATGAGTTTCAAGCAGCTGGGTCTGGGACTCGAACCACAGTCGACCATGTGGGAGTCCAGCACCTTTACCACTATACCACCTGCTGGCCCTTCCAGTGCTATTTTTAAGACATGGGATTTAAGACTCAGAGAATGTACATCATTTACCCAGGAAAAGCCAGACAGAGTGGGAGCAACAGGGCCTGGGGCCACACAGGATCCTTGCTTCTGAAACATCCTCTGAAGTCCTGCTCAGTAAGGTTCTGCCCTGTCCCTTTTCAGCACCTACTGGAGGCAGGGAGACCTTTTAAGATTTGTTGTCGTTAATAGCCAGAAGGCACATGTGCTTGCCAGAGACAGAGGGAGAGGGAGAAAGCACCTCTCCAAGGGGCGTAGTCACACGGTGATCCTTTCTCCTCTGTTTCTTCATCCTGTCAGGACCATGGGTGACCATGCACATGCGCCTGGTGCATTTTCAAGCCACTGGGACTGGGACTTGAACTGCGGTTGGCTGTGTGAGATCTGGGCTTCAACTACTAGACTACAGGCTTGGGCCTAAGTTTTGTTTTGTTTGGTTTTAACCTAAAAAAAAAAAATTTAGGACTGACCTTGTGGCCTGGATTCCACACAATTGTCCAAGAGGTTTGAATCCCAGCCCTGGCAGCTTGAAAGCACACCAGGCACCTGTGTGTGCCCATGATCCTGACAGGGTAGAGAAATGAAGGAGAAGGAATGGCAGCATGACCATTCTCCACGGTGGGTGCTATCTCACTTTCCCTCTTTGTCCCTCTCTGGTGAGCACGTGTACCCACTGGCACATAAAATAATACTAATAATTTGAGATTTCCAGAAAACTTGCAAAGTTAGTTCGGATAATTCACACATACCTTTATTTATATTTCTCCATGTCAATAGCTTGTATAACCATCAAAACTAAATAGCGAGCTATTAACCATACTGCTGATTTTATTTGGATTTCACCAGCTATTCCACTCAT